TACAGTCACGAGTGCTGATCCTGCAACTACTCCCCCTACAGTATTACCCACTACACAATCTTCAACAGAGACAACTCCGACGCCAACAACTCCGACGCCAACAACTCCGACGCCAACAACTCCGACGCCAACAACTCCAGCGCCGACAACTCCAGTGACAGTCGCAACAACTCCCACAACTTCCGCTGTTGTTACTCAACCTACAACAACTCAACAAGCCGCTACAACTCCCGCGACAACTGCCGACCCTACACCATCATCTTCAGTTGTCGTATCTGTCGTTACTGTAACTCCAACGGATGGCATATCGTCTGGACAAGTCACAACCGAATACATCACATCTACTCAGGCCGTCACATCTAGGGCATCTTCCACATCGTCGACTTCATCTTCTGCAACAGCTTCCGGAACAGCCGGCCTTAGCAATGCAGGATCGAGTAATTCGGGTAGTAAAGGTATTTCAAGTGGAGGAACAATTGCCATCGCAGTAGTTGTACCTATCGTCGCAGTTGCTGCTTTGATTGCTGCTGGATTATTCTTCTGGAGAAGACGCAAGCAACGTAAGGATGCCGAAGAAATGAGACGAAAGGAAGTGGAGGAATATGGATACAACCCCAACAATGATCCAACTATTCCAGCCGTAGGATCAGGTGGAAGTGATGGGCCATTCGAAATGCGCGAAGAAGAAGGGTCTGGATATCGTGGATGGGGAACTACAGCCGTAGCATCGTCAGGAAGAAAAGCCTCAACAACATTATCTGGTGGTCAATCAGCAGGTGGAATTGGTATGGCTTATTCGGATGGATCGCCGACTCATGCACTTTCCGATACTCGATCTGACAATCCTTTAGTTGATCACCATGAAGAAGAAGGTATGGGCGTTATGGGACCAGCTACAGCGGGAAATCGTGATATAAATCGTGGACCATCGAATGCTTCTTCCTCGTACAGTGCAGCTGGCCGATCAGATGGATCAGGTGAAGCTGGATATAATGGAGGTGGACAATATTATGATCAATACGGAGGCGCCGGTGGAAACCCATACACTGATGCAACACCATATGGAAGTCCACAAAATCGAGCTGAAGCTGCGGGTCAACCAATTATACGTGATGTATCAGCGAGAAGAAACACACGAATCGAAAATCCATCACATTACCCAGGTCAACAAAGTGCAGGTATTTCACAAAACTTTTAATTCGGATAGGATGCGGTTTAAGTTGTTACGATCTTTTTCATCCATCTATGCTATGCACACACCCACGTTCTCATCAAAAGTTTCATTTCGGTAGCCGCGCTCCTTTTCTTAATATGTGGTGGGAATGAATGGAAAGGGAATTTGAGGGGCACAGCTTTGTAGTCATATTATATCACAAATACCATTATGGGGGAGTGGAATGGCGTTTTTTCTTTCTTTTCTGAGTCCTGATGAATGGCTTCTTTTCTCTCCTTTTTTTCTTTCTTTCTTTCTTTGGAGGCCAGCTAGCCTACGACAAACTAGTCTGAAGTGTCGTGGCTTTCTTCTGTTTGATATTGTGGTGGCTTGATGAATGAGTGGGAGGAGGTGAGAGAGCAGTGTTCTATGAGAGTACCTAGCGCGCTGGAGACGAGGGGGGAAAACTAGAGAGACTGCGGGGTGAAGGATTGTGGAGCGCGCGGAGGGGCTCCTGGCATTAGTGTTGGCGAGGATGATGATGATGATGGTGTGTTTGTTGTAGTAGGAAATACAAACAGCGAACAATGGGTGGAAGACATCTACCTAGCGCAAGAATACCTAGTGGAGAGTGGCATATACAAAATGAAATAATACATTTTGAACCAGCAATGATTGATTTTAATTTTGTGACGTGATATGACTGACTTGTGCACGCGTGGGTTGCGTGTATGTGTCTACGAGATCTGGCTAGCAGTAGAAAGGGTGATGGATGAGATTTTAGATGGGAGGGTGTGAAATGTAGATGGATGGATGGGTAGTAGGGGGTTACGAGAGCTTTAAGGTTGGTGTTGTAGGAAAGGGGGAAGGGGGGGAGTAGGTTTGAGGAGAAGGAGATTTGGAAAGATGGTGATGAGAGAGATTGAGATTGAGATTTGATATTGATATTGAGATTTGAATTATATGAAGTTGGTTTATTGGGGATATGGGATATGGGATATGGGTATTAGGAGGGGGATGGATATTAGGAGGGGGTGGAAATTAAGAGGGGTGTTTGGAGGAGGATGGGTGATCGGTGATGGGGGGTGAGTGATGGGTGATGGGTGATGATATGATAGATGAGGTAGTGGGGTGTGGGAAAGAGGGGGTGAGGTGATGAGGTAAAGAGATGGTGAGGAGAGGGGTGAAGAGGGGGTAAAGAGGAAAATGGCGAAATGAAGGGGTAGAGAGGCAGAGAGGCAGAGAGGCAGAGAGGTAGAGAGGTAGAGAAATAGAGATTGGAAGGTGGAAAGGTGGAGTGGTGGAGTGGTGGATTTGTAGATGAGTGGGAGTATGGATTTGAGTATGAGTATGAGTGTTAGATCAGTGTGTAGATATATTGATTGATTGATATATAAAGCTAGGAATGTAAAAATGTAGATACCTACGAGGGCGTGTTTTTGACGAGGACTCGAATAAAATTTAAGCAAATTTCGTCACCAAAAATTATACTTTATTCTCTATTTTTATAAATATGAAATAATTCGAATAATTTTTCTACAAAACTTTAAAATATAGAATATATATCAAGATTTGATAAATAAATAATTTGATATTAATTTTGATAAAATATCAATTGAAAAATCTTATATAGAATTTCAATTCTTGAAATAAACAATTTTTTTTGTAACAATTTTAAATTTTAATAATTCTTTATAGATCTTGAGTAAGTTGAAAGATAATATAACGTGGTTTATCAGCATGTGGGCCATATCATCATGTGGGCCATTTGAAAATACACCAAAATTAGGGCTTTTTTCATATTCTTTATAAAATAACTAATCATTATTTTGAGGGAAAAAAAGATCATTAAATAATAATAAGAAATTAGCTTTCTATAAATAAATCTTTTTAATGAATATTCTTATTAGATTTTGGAAAAAGTCAGAATTGTCACGATTTTCGTTACAAAAAAACTATTTTAATAATAACTCTTATATTAATTTGAATTTTCGAAAACTAATTAGAAATCTTTAATACTTTTATAATCAAATATCATATATTAAATTTTTGAGAGATTATATTTATAAATAAAGAAGGTGCACGGTTACACACAGACGAATTTTGTATGTATTTTGAGGTGGCCCATATGATGATATGGCCCATATGCTGATAAACCACGTTATTTAAATTTATTTATATGTAAAATTTCAAATATATAATATCACGGAGGTAATAGCTATATCTAATGGTCACTTTGATTAGGAGATAGGTATATAGAGTGATAATAAACTAGATTGACTTGAGGTGTGATTATAAGGATTATACCTGGTTTATATATTCTGATCAAGCGATAGAGTTGCCTAATTAGGTATATAGGGTATACAAATAAACTGAGTGAAATAGTTTTAGTAATTATAGGAATGAGTACTCCGGAGGAGTACTAGGATTAGTATCGTAGTGTTATATCATACGGTGAATTCCGTGACATATAATAATATTAATTAAATTTAATATTGAATTCTAAAGTAAATAACTTTTGGTGTAAAAAGTGCTTGCACATGGATCTGGGCCCTCATCAAAAACACACCCTCGTAGGAACCAATACAGGTGTGGAAATAAATGCAAATGTAGAAATAGATGTAAGGGAGGTGGGAAGATGCTAGGTGTCTAGAATTTTGGTACTGGATTGTATTGGAGTGATTGATTGGGTTGTGAATGTTGAGGGTATGGATGGGAAGTTGAGGTTTGAGAATTGAGGAGTGAGGATCTGGTGGATTGAGAATGAGAATCGTGCTGTGTTGATTTGAAGTTGTTAGATTGGTGGTGAGGGGATGGGTGGTTAGATATGGGATATGGGATATAGGATGAAATAAGAGTACGACGGCTTGAGATGAAGAGGAGTGCCAAGAAGTATGATGCTAGATAGAAAGTTAGATACGTAGATGCAGAGAGAATCATAGCTCAGTCTCCGAATTGCGAGGGTTTCGGTATCTGTAGATTTGCTGGGTGGTTGGTTGCTAGATGGCCTTGGTTTCTTGGTAAGAGGAGGGGAGAGGAGAGGAGGGGATGGAAGAGAGGGGAGGTATGATGTAGAGAGTAGAAACGAATCTTGGTATTGTGTACTGTGCTTGTGTAAATAAATTCGAGGATTTCGCAAGAGGATAGAGATACCTAGGATCCAGAGTCTGGATTCAGTTGCCCTTGATGAATCTTGATGAATCTTGTCTGGAGCATGAAAAAGTGTTACTCGGTGTGGATAAAAGATCCCGAGGTGGGGAGATGGATTGATGCCGATGAGCTCCGACCTCATTCTCAAGCTTCTGGATACCTATGAAGTATGTAAAGTCTTGTCAAGTCTTGTCTACTCCTGGAGAGTGGAAGATTATGCTATCTGATAATTCATCATCTTGTCTATCCAGCACAATCTCGCCGTATGAGTCAAAATACACTCGCTTCCGTCGCTTTTGTATCGTAATACCTGTTAAGGAAATCCAATGGAATAATGGCATAGAATCGATGATGAAATATTTCTAACAGGTGGATATAGTTTTACCTGTTCTGTAACTTGCCCCTCATTTACCTTGCCTTACTCAGTAGCTACCACAGTATCCGAAAGAAGTCCGATATAGCATACCGGACAAACACCTTACAAACAGCTCCATTCAACCTTAAAGCTTAACAAAAGATCGTTTACTTACCCCTCATTTGTGACCAACGCCTATTTACTTGGTTTGCCTTCTTCTCGATCAAAACGAAACATACGAAATACACGACGCATTTTGTGCACCTTGAGAGCTTTTGGATACCTTGAGAGCTTTAATTTACACAACAGAATCGACGAATTAAAAGAATAGAATAAGACAACATGCCTGCGGATACTGTTGGAAAGGTATGTTTTGTTTTCTGTTTGCTTGTCTGCACGGTTTGGTGGGGGGACGGGAGATGGTCAGAGAGGGTTATTTGTGGTTGATTGATGGCTTGATCGATTGATGCATACTATTCTCGCGGACTCGTGGAAAGGGAGATTCATGGTGTTACAATATAGTACATGTGCTAATTCGTGAATCATATTAGACTATTACCTGCAAGGTTAGCTGCCATTTTATATACCCCTCTACACATACACAACCCGGAGATATATACTATTCCTGCTGCAGATGCACTCAGAGTATCATCTGCTGCATTGGCAGATTCTGCAGAATGGCGCGGGTGAAAGTCTGCGAGGTTTTTAACTCGATCTCAGCATTGAGGGAGAAGATAGAAACAATGCACGAGAAAGGAAGTAGGGAAAGAGGAAAGAAACAAAGCTAATAGAGAAATTAATAGGCGGCAGTTGCTTGGGAAGCAGCTCAAGAACTCAGTATTGAGGATATTGAGGTTGCCCCTCCTAAGGCGAATGAAGTGAGAATTGAAATTTATTATACGGGAGTTTGTCATACTGGTAGGTTGTTTTTTAACTTTTTGTTCACTTTTTGCCGATTCGGGAAGGAGGGCTGGTGGGACGATGGGTATGGAGGGGTGAGTTGGGCAGTGCGGGAGACGGGATAGACGGGGAATGAGGATGAAGATATCCTGTCGAATGGGTGAGGAGGATGTTATAGAAAGAGGATTGGGATGGGGACGGTGCCGGGCGCTGGGTCATCATGAGATTGTACGAATCGTAAAAAAAGAGATGCTAATGGCCGATAGATGCATACACACTTTCCGGCAAAGACCCCGAGGGAGCCTTCCCAATTGTTCTCGGACACGAGGGTGCTGGTATTGTGGAATCTGTCGGTGAAGGTGTAACATCTGTTAAACCAGGAGATTACGTTGTCGCTTTATAGTATGTATTCAAAAAGCATCTGTTTCATGTACCGCTAACATCTCTCCAGTACCCCAGAATGTAAAGAATGTAAATTCTGCAAATCTGGTAAAACCAACCTTTGCGGAAAAATCCGTGCAACTCAAGGAAAGGGTGTCATGCCAGATGGTACATCCCGTTTCAAGTGCAAGGGTAAAGATCTCCTCCACTTTATGGGAACATCTACTTTCTCTCAATATACCGTCGTTGCCGATATTTCCGTTGTCGCTATCACCCCAGATGCTCCTATGGACCGCACTTGTCTACTTGGTTGCGGTATTACTACCGGTTACGGAGCTGCTGTCGAAACCGCCAAAGTCGAAGAAGGATCTACTGTCGCTATCTTCGGTGCCGGTTGTGTTGGTCTCAGTGTAATTCAAGGAGCTGTTCAAAGAAAGGCTTCAAAGATCATCGTAGTTGATGTAAACTCATCCAAGAAGGAATGGGCTGATAAATTCGGTGCCACCGATTTCGTTAACCCAACTGAATTGAAGGGCCAAAGTATTCAAGAGAAATTGATCGAAATGACCGATGGTGGTTGTGATTACACTTTTGATTGCACTGGAAATGTTGGTGTTATGAGAGCTGCTTTGGAAGCTTGTCATAAGGGTTGGGGTCAAAGTATTGTTATTGGTGTTGCTGCTGCTGGACAGGAGATTAGTACTAGACGTGAGTTATTCCCTTTTCTTGCTAGCAGCCGATATTCGTACAAGATACAAATTACTGACATCTCTAATAGCATTTCAACTTGTCACTGGACGTGTCTGGAAAGGTTGTGCATTCGGTGGTATCAAAGGTCGTTCCCAATTACCTCAATTGGTTGATGATTACATGCAAGGTAAATTGAAGGTTGATGAGTTCATTACTCACAGACAACCTTTGAAGGGAATCAACCAAGCATTTGATGATATGAAGAAGGGTGATTGTATTAGATGTGTGGTTAATATGAGAGAATGACTCCCGGGCACAGAGAAGGAAAATGAAAAGGCTAGGTTGTGAGATATGAGAGAAATGAAAATGTATATGAAAGGATCACTGAAGTTCAGGGTACGATTTTGTGATGTTGAGTTGTTCATTTGATTTTGTGGATATGTGGGTTTGCAAATGATGTTTTATTGGATTTGGATTTGAATTTGGATTGGGTATGCTTGATGTACTTACTTAGTTGATGATAGGATTATATTGTACATGGTGTGCGTATTTTGGGAAATCTCACAATTTGACATGTGATTCCGGGGGCTCTAATTTACTATATTTTAGGTCTCGGAATGAGATTCCCTTCTGTTTGATTCATCTATCTGTCCGTGGTGTTTGAAGTTCTGTGAAGGGGGGCGGGGGTGATGTGTTTGTAAGGGAAAAGTAATCCTCTACATTCACAGCAAGTACGAAGACATGGTTCTTCCATTATTTGATCATGAGTATCTATTTTACAGTAAAGCGGTATCCAGGATTCTGTGGAAGACTGCTAGTGCATTATTTACTTCCGAAGAGAATAATTCCAGAGAACTAATACGTTGAATCTCTTAAAAGCAATAGATATACCTACTTTTGGGATTTGTTTCACAAGAGACCTGGATCTATTTGTTTGAGGGAGATAAAAAGTCATGATTATTTTCATATTTGATTATGAGTATCTATTTTACAATATGGTATCCAAAAACCCATCTGGGAGAATGCTAGTGTATTATTTATCTCCAGGGTAAAAACAGCCTCGGGGAACTACCTATCTAGTGATATCAAATTCTCTGATAATACATAGTAAACCCTCATATTTCTTCGCCAGCTCTTTATCTGCGAGTTTCCTGACGAGGGAAAGGAAGGAAAATTAGCAGAGTTCATTCTTAACGGAAGTTATAGGAATCGTTTACTCACCCACGACGAGACTTCAACAGGTTCCGAAGCGGACCTTGGAGGTTGTTCGTAAGTCGCTATTGCTACATGTGTATCTGTACGCGCCGTCTCGGAACTAGATCGCGCACTGGGTTGTGAGTCGATGTATTTTCTTGGTGGGGGGCCCGATGGTTCGTCCTGCATGCGTCCTTCGGTGAATTTACTTGTGAGGGGTTTGGGTTTTGCGGTGTGGAGGGATGGGGTGGAGTGGGTGTCTTGGTGTGTGGATGGGGATGAGGATGGCATGTTGCGTAGGAGGTCGGGGTTTGAGGTGGCGAGGATGAGGTGTTGGGAGTCGGAGTGCTTCAAGTGGAGTGGATATTTGAGATCTTGAGAAGATGAATATCGATGATGTTTTTACAAATTCGTAAGTAGATAGACGACTGCAAGATTCGTTCTCGGATATCTTGTTTGATTCTTCTGATAGTTCAGGAAAGAATGAAAAGAAGAACATGGATGCATATGAGAGTAAGACGCAGAACCTATATGCTCATAGTCAGTTCCGAATGAGTGACTGTTTGTGAGTGTATAGCCATATTAGCAATAATACAATCACACGAATCTTGTGACTCCTGGAGTGAATGAGGACAAGTCATGACTGAGAAATGAATGTTTGGGGTATGTTTTTATGATATATTTTTTTCATTTCTTTCTTTTCTTCTTTCTTTTTGAGAATTAGACTAGACTGTATTGTATTGTTATACAATGATAGAGTTTGACTATGCGATATATACTATATGGAAAACTGTTTATGGAAATACAAAGATAAATTTGTTATGAGATCATATATAATGGTATGATTTGATATATTCCATATTGGGTTAGGATTATTAGAAGGGTTGCGTGATATTGATATTAATAGTTTCAATAGGACAGTTGATATGTGATTTTTAGAGGATTTGGAATTTATATACACTAGTGATTTATCATATGAAGAGTGATAAATTTGATGTTATTTATTCCTGATGTGTTGGTTTTTGTGAAGTTGGGCTGTGTAATGTTGTTTCTGGGAAATTTGTGTATAAGGAATTTGTGTATAAGAAATCTGTGTATAAGAAATCTGTGTATAAGAAATCTGTGTATAAGGAATCTGTGTATAAGAAATCTGTCTATAAGGAATCTGTCTATAATAACACCATATCCAATACCCCTCTTCCCTTATAAACATCCCTCATAAAACATCCCTCATAAAAGCCCCCACGTATCTACTCGGTACACTATATACAAAATACACCATACACATCATACACATAATCTACATAATCACACATCCACAACACGAACCATCTCCTACTTGCACTGGCGCTTTTTCCTGGAAAGAAGGAAGTTAGTAAATTAGAGATCTTTCTACATGTATGTATATCTATATGTATGTATATATATGGATATATGAGTAGGTAGTGGAAGAACTTACAGGTGGAGGAACAGGTAGACCAACAGGTCTACGCTTAATCTTATGTTTAACGGGTGGGTGCGGGCCCATAAATTCTCTTAGTGGTGGCTTGATGGGTCCATCGATGTCTACTTCGATGTACTTGCTGACACGTGCCTCCTTGCGAGGCATGGTGTGGTGTGGGAGGCTGGAGTTGTGGGTTGTGAGGTAAGAGGGGTAAGTTTTTGATGATGTGGTTTGATAAATATTGGCGGATGATTTGGGGTGCTTGAGTGAGGTGTCTGGAATTGAAAAGTGCGAAATGGTTTGATGTCTGTCAAGTTTAATGAGCTTGAATGAGCTTGAATGTACTGTTTAATCTGGGATGTAGTGTTCTGATTTGGGAAAGTTCTCTAAGCTTTGAGCTGTAAAATTATATATTCCTTATTACTCATGGGATATGATATGAGTCTGAGGTTTGGTGGTGCATAGTCATAGTTGGGGGTGATGGTTATGAGTCCTAGATTATTGCAGGTGGTGACTGATGGGGGTGACTGGGGAAGTGACTGGAGAAGTGACTGTTTAGGAAATGGTTTCGTGGTTTTCTACAAGAGCGGGAGGAGTTTTGGGTTGAAGGTTTTATTTTTCCTATAGAAGTTTATGGAGATAAAGCGAGTCCATCTCTCTATTGATTCTGGGACCTTTTGATCTAGTAGAGAAACGTATAGTGTACTCAGAAGGTATGCTAGCAATCTATTTTGCGCCACATTCGCAACATTCACTAGATTTCTGTTAGTCAGAGTCAGAACCGTCTTTGGCTTCTTTGCACACTTAAATTCTGGAAATATATCATCTCCTAAAGGGGGGCTTCGGGGCTTTCAATACGAATAGAGAATAGAGTTCTACTTTTGATTCTATACTTGAAACTTAATTCCACGGGCTGTATGGCGGGAAAAGATTTTCCATGATTTTTTATTAGATTAGGAAGATTTGAGCTTGAGATTCTCAGTCATGTCATCTCGTTATTCTTATTCACGGCTGGTGATAGGGCTGAAGGGGTAAGCAGGAGTGTCTGAAACGAGTTGCTTGAGACATACCTAAACCCCTGTCCAATCAGATTAAATTTATCATAAAGAGATCCATTAATTCTATGGAAATCTATCTAAACAACGATTGCTTATTGTACAGATCATTCATATCCAAAACACTGATGCTAAAGTCGAGTGACATTGGCGATTTCAATGTACCAACACTCCTCAAAGTGGAACATCAGATAATTCCATAAAGATTCCAAAGGTACCCACCCCCGCCAAATTCTACCCGCAAGATTGCTAATGAGAATGCAATATTGACTATGCTCAAAGAATCATAGTTTCCATGATGCTAGTTATATCTTCCACCAGCGACGTTTCTTCTCAGTCTCCTTTCCCTATCCGAAAAAGTCAGCATGCTTTAAATCTCATAACGAATTGAGGATAATACTTTACTTATTAAACAAGGTCGTAAAGGCGGACGCGGCTTGACTTTATCTGAAAGTGGCTGCGGTGATTTCGGAGGAGGCCTTCGTTTCTTGAGGGTGTTTGGGACTCCCGGCGAAGGTTTTTCTTGAAAGTGGACAATTCTTTGGGGTGGTTTGGGAGTGAGTGGTGTTGGGGGTCTGTGAGGTCTTGATGATGATGGTTGATGTGATGTCGGAAATCGTTCTAGGAATCCTGTTTCTAACCGGACGTTATTCTCAGACGGTCTGGGAGTATTTGGTGCTCGAGGCCTGTAAGGTCTTGTTGATGAATGTATAGGTATTGCTGCCGGTTGATGCGATGAGCGCGTTGTTGGGATTCGTCTTAGATATCTTGTTCCTGACTGACTGATGTTTTCTAATGGATTGGGAGTAATTGGTATTTTAGGTCTCTTAGATCTTGCTAATAATCGTTGGTGCTCTTCATATGCATCTCGGCGATCTTGCGCTCTAGACTGTGATATTCATTTTCTAACATTTCGAGGCTCCTGCCTTGTGCTTGGAATTGTTCAACTGGCGCATGTATCCTGCTGGATCCGGGTCTTGAATGAGAAGCTTCCGAAAATGGCATCGAGGATCTTCGTGATGGTTCATGACAGATTGAACCTACGACGGACTTATATCTTTGCACTTCGCTTGCTGTTACTGTTTGTGGCCGAGCATGCTTGGTTTCCTCTATACTTCGTTGTAACTTCTGATATTCTTTTGTTGGCCGGAAGTGATCAAATTCGGGGAATTCCTTCATATGCGCTTCGAAACTGATTGTTGATGGGGCTCTGGGTGGTCCTGATCGGAAAACTGTTTTGCGAGGAAGATGATTTTGCTCGCAAATGCGGCTTGGGGGGATTTGCTTGGAGTGGAATATGTGTTGTCTTGGTCGGAAAATATTGGGGCTCTTAACAATTCCCACTTTTATATTCTCGTCGAGCTTGTATTGATGTTTTTGCAATGGCCTTCTGGTATTTCAAATGCCTTTGCAAGAAATGGGTATCCGTAAGTCTTGCGCGTTTCTGGAGATAGATTATTATAGTAACCTGCTTGCTTCTTTGAAAATGTCAAGGCTGGTAGTGGCGGTGGCGGGTCTTGAGAATCTTTTGTTTTGAATACGACTGTCGAAGTTCTTGTGATAGCCTAATAGGATGAGGCTCCCTAATACTGGCCAGATCCGCTTGGGGAGACTCAAAGTATCCTCCATTTCCTATGAATATGAACCAGTCAGGTTCTTTCTCTGATAACCTAGAAGTCTGGGATCTTCCGTTCGTGAAGACTTCTTTCTCGGCTTGGTATGAAATCAGCAGCGACTTTATGTTTGCCAAGCTTCAATTTGCTTTTCCTGGTGCGTGTAGGAGTTTTCCGTTAGTGAAGGCTTTTTTCTCGGCTCTGGAATGAAATCAGCAGTGACTTTATATTGCCAAGCTTTAATATGCTTTCCCTGGGCGTGGAGGACTTTTCTGATAGCGCTCAGGTTGTAGAAAGCGTAGTTTGGAGCGTAGCCATGATTGTTTGACAGCCTTATCATTTGGAGCTGGCTTATTCGCCAGTTTGGACTTTTGGATTGGATTGGGCGGCATGGCGTGATACAGAAAAGTAGTGGGAAGGAGGGGCGAAAGATCAAGGGTATTACAAGTATGTGGATCTTGCGAAGTAAATGTAGTAAGATAGGTGTGTATGGAGATATCGATGTTGGTGTAAAATTTGATTATTTTTGAACTTGATTGTCGTATGAATTGTGGGAAAGTTCCCCAATCGATGGTGATGGAAACTATAAGTAGACTCCTAGGCAAGGACTATGAATAGTTGGATTTTCTTGGTGTGCAGTCACAAGAGACCCCATGAGGCTCAAAATAGAGTCGTTTATGACTCCTGAGATTATGGCCATGTGTAAAGTATCCTATGAGTGAACGGTCGAATAAACGAAGTGTGCTTGACATGATGTGCACATGAATCATGTATCGCATGGGCGTGGAATGTCATAAGTATTACAATTATGAGTCCTGGAGTACGTAGTCGGAGGAAATGACTCGGAAAAATGACTCGGACTGCTGGAATATGAGAAGGAATGAGTTATATAATGAAAGGATAGGATAATTGTGGCTTATAGTCCTCAAGTCTTAAACATAGTCACATCAATGCTTGAGAGCGTAATTCACATCCACAGTTTGGATTCAAGGAGATCAGTTTGAGTTTTTTGGTAGAAGAGGTTCCTAAAAAGATGTGAAAAGCAACGATTGTGTATTTTACAGTCAATCTATATCTTATATCCATGTTCTCAAATACCACACTATCAGAAAACCCTCACATTTTCCCATGAAAAGCCATATACTCAGAGAAAACACAGCATCGATACCACGCGCAAACGGCCATATGCGGAACTCCGCCTTCAGTCTACATTACCGAACAGCATCCGCTTTCTTTCTACCAAAAAGTTAGTGTACTTATTCTGTTTGAATAAAGAATTGATATATTACCTCTCCAGGATGTTCTCTAAGGACAGAATCTTGGAAACTCCCTCTAATCTGCATCTTTTCGAAGCTATCACCGTTTCGACCATATTTATGCTTTTTGACGGATGGTCTATTTTTTGCGATATTAGATGTTGTGGAGTTTGTGTGCTTGACTTTATTAGGACCTTCAAGTCTGGTGATGTCGGCGAGAGGATAGTCCAACGTCATAATTGCTCTTGGAGTTGGTGTGATTTCTGGATTTGAGAATTGGGGACTGGATCGTGGATTGGAAGATGAGGATTGGGCGATGACGATACGAAGTCTTGTGGTTTAATTGAAGTGCTTCAAGTAAGTAGATTGTGTGAGCCAGATATGTGAGAGGAATAACGCTGATCAATGTATGTAGGATTCGACCCAAAGTTATTCAGCATTCGAGTGTTTGTTTCGTTTTGGTTTCTTGAGCACATCTGCAGCAGAAGGAGAACTAGTTATCCTAGAATCGATATTCCAATGAGTCACATTAGGGTTTCCTGATATGAATCATAGATATAACTACTATTGTCGTTGTGAGTAATGGAAGAAATGACTGGAAGTAATGACTGTTCAGGATACTGCTTTTGCATGAGAGATGAAAGGGCAATAAAAGTCTTGAGAAGGCATGGAGGCTATCAATATCAATCAATAAGCAGTGAAACGGCCCCTTTGGACTTCTCCAATTTTTCTAAAGCAACGATTGTATACTATACAGTCTAAAAGTATCCAAAACACCAGTGATATCAAGACCTCGCCAGACAACCCCGCCAGAACCTTAATGAAATGCAGCAATGACCTATGCCATAAGACCATTTCCAGAACCCTACATCACTAAGCAGCACCCTCCTTCTTCACTGCTGGGCTTCTACCAAAACGATTAGTGTCATTCATATATGTACGAAAAGAATAAACAGCTTTCACTTTACCTTCTGAGGTGCCGGTTTAGAAACAGATGGCTTGCGTTGAGCCCATACTGGCGGTCCCAAATCGCTTCTCGCAGCTGCTCGATGGTCTCGACCACTATGATGCGATTTCTCCCACAAATTAGGCGTCTCACCCATGGGGTTTGTCCATATGTCGAAATAAGACTGACTGTTGGAGACGGCGGTGCTCGCTTTGATACTTGTCGTTGTTGTTGTTCTTGCTGTTTTTGTACGTGGTAATATTCATGAGCACTAGGAAAAATATCTCCGACAAACTGAGACCTATAACTGGTTGGGTTGATAGGAGATGGTGAGGTCTTCTGGTGTGAGGGGAACCAAGATTCCTCGTGGCACTGAGGGAAAGAAAAGTCAGGGTTTCGTTCTTCTGGCTTTAAGGCACATTGAGTGTCCCGGACACCCCTGACTTGTGAAGATCTCATTTTCTTTAGATTTGAGACTTCGTGGATTGGATATCAAGAATCAGAAGTGAGGACTATTAGATCTATGATAATAAAATGGTGTGAGTTCTGGTGCTTAATTTGAATTACTTTGAGTAACTTTGCGTGGAAGTTGGTAATCGTATGTGTGCTTGATGAATTTGAATGTTTTGCTGTGGAAGTGTGCTTCTTGATTCGTTCCCAAGGAGATGGAAATATATTTATATACACTCCATCAATGCGGCTATGAATCAAATTAGTTACGGTTATGATATCCACAGTCATACAAACAAATCCTCAAGACATTGCAGTCATGCAAAGAAGACTGGGGGAAATGACCAGTTCGTTTGTTCATCCCATGCACAGTTTGGAGCCGTAGCAAACCAGTCACAATTTGTAATAAATGGTACGAGACTACGAGTCCATTCATGCTATAAAGATCGTGGACTCAGCTAAACTCCCGAAGAGAAAAGGAAGCGGTTATTGTCAAGAATTACAGAAGAATCAGCAACTTCACCGATATCAATACTGTCATCTCATGGAGATATACTCCCGAAACATTGATATATATCATCAACGTCATGCCCAAAATGCCACATTTACCAGTACATGTGTCGTACCACTTGAGCCACGCCTTTCATCGCCGCAGAACAACCCTTTCTTTCAAGAAAGAACTAGATTTTTTCTCACACTTACCAAGACAAAAGTAGAAGGAAAATAAATGAAAATTTCCTCATTTTTCTACTCAAAAGAACGGTGGCAATTCTCGTCCGTGACCGCCCGTAATTCAGTAAAGACGGTCTGTCCTCGTTTTAAACTAATCTTGTTCCTTTTGAGAAATCAGGGATTTGTCGCATGGGATCATCTTGTGAGGGTGGCATGATAGATAAATGTTGGGTTGAATCCTGATGAGAGAGTAAAGGCGATGAGGCGGGTAATGCAGAAGATTCAGATGTCGTTGATAACCCGATTTGACATGTGCAAAAGAATGACTGTCGATAAGCATCTGCAGGCAAGTCAACATGTGGTTTTGAAATTCGAACAGTGCGCTTTGAAATTGAACTTTGCATTCTCGAGTGATTTAAATGCTAATACCAAAATATATATGCTACTTGTGGCAATTGAATGGGTCATATCGATGTTCGTGGGAGAGTTAAAGGGAACGAGTGAAGCAACGAGTGAACCTCAAAAATCAGCTGTCATTAGGAGTCACAATATAGGATGAGGGGATACATAGCCTTCATAGTTAGCTCCTGTCGAGTTGATGATAATATAAGAAATTCGCGAAAACTATGCTATGAGAAGAGCGTGCCTTCCGAATTTCTTGATCTTCCGCCCAAATTTCTGCTTTTAAAATACATATATTAAAAAGTGCCTCATAAATTCTCTTCCGCAGTCCGCGCCGGGGTATCTATTTGTAGTTCACTTTTACCTCCTTCTTATACGCCGACTCTGCCCATTAAACCGTTTTGCATTGAATTATTGTCCCTTCTCGCAACAAATACCATATTCTGATTTCGTCAAGCTCCGCATTCCACGACTCCGACTAGAAGTACCAATTTCCTTCCAAATCTGTGTTCAACAAACTGTCAAAAAACATCGTATTATCCACTTGTAAATTGGACCAATCATCTATTTGTTGTTCCGGCTCCAACGGTGGAAACTGACTACTCTTAAAGAAAACAATAGGTTGAGCAGCAGACCATGGGCAATTATGTGAATTGTCAAATTCATTCTGCGAGTCTCCCGGTGTCATATTTTGTATAAGAGACGGAGTCGTATTCAAAGATTGAGCATCGATAGAAGGAGTTGATTGGGTGATATTTGTAGCGGGTGTTGAGGATACAGGTGTGCGTGCTATTGAAATTGTGCCGAAATAAGGGATTGTGAGACGAAGATTTCCACTTGTGCTGGTTGATGCCAGAAGGGTTTTAATAACTTCGACACTTTGGGTGGCCATTACGTCATCTTCTGAAGCGCATTCGCCCATGACACCCAAGACGGTTTCAACAAGCTCCCTGTCAGTTCTTTTTTGGTTTTGGACTGCAATTGTGTCGCCGCCTACTGGAGGAATTTCCAGTATGCTCAAGAGAAGAGTTACGCTTGCCGTGAAAGCTCCAAAATCGACCACCTTGCAACAGAAAGATTTCGTACCTGAGCGTCTGATGGTGAGATAGCGAGATATGATTTCTCGAGATGATTTGAGACAAGTAAATTTACTATATTCGTAACGACGTTCGGTAGCAGCTCGAACCATAAATGGTAAGTGTAAGAATGATTCCAGTTGAAAGTAGTAGATTTGTGACATGATTCGATCAAATTTTGCGGCGGAGCTCGGATCTTTACTGACGGTCTCGATGTAACTTGGCACTTCCCACCAAGATGCAGGCATTCCCCTACCAATATTTTCGAGTTTCTCGTCAAGGTGTTGAGTACTGGCAAATGCATGAATATAGTCGGATTGATTTCTCTCGATAATTCCTCCAGCCAAATTTGTGAGTTTTCTGATGAATAGAACGTCATGGTCGATGTTAGGATTGCTAAAAGTTTCGTGAGATAAGATCACACTATCCTCCGCTCCAGCTGGCATGCCTAAGAGTAAACTCAAGTATCTATCTGCCTGCATCAAACTTCTCCAAAGGTTGACTCCTCCAGGTGGTAAAGGTGTAGTACTAAGCTCTTCGCGTTTATGTAGACCCATAAGCTGACCGATATTCATAGCTCGACGGAATGTAAGCCATGCGCGACGTAAATTCCCCGCATTCATGTGAAACAATCCTTGGAGTACTAGACATTCCAGTCCCTGAACAGAAGCTACAAGTTCGTCATCCGAAGTCACGAGCCCTGACACTGTCGATATGATCTTATCCACTCGAGCTTCGATACTAGTGGTAATTCCTAATAGGCTTGCGTCGTATCCATGAGGTACTTGCTGTAAGCATACAGCCATGTGAAGAAGTATTTGAGCTATCACTGCGGGACTTTCCTTTGCGATGCTGGGCACATTGAATGAATGATTCGGATTGAATGCTGATGGTTCTAGCATAATATGAGCTGAGTGGTTTGTCAAAGAATGCATTAACAACCAGCAATCAGAGAAAGAGCAAAGGATATTCGTAGCTTCCTGTGATGGAAGAAGCTCCATCAGAAAATCTTTGATCCTTTCAATCTTCGTTGGTATGCAACATTGCTTAGTTGTCTTTTCGCCACCTGGTTGAGATTTTGGGGTTGTAATCTCGGATTGACTTTCCTTTTCTCGGCGACCTAGCTTCAAAGGATGTGAGCAAATATATCATGTGGGATGTAGAACCACTCACAACAGGATTATCAAAAAGGGAAAGAATAGGTACAGTTGTAGCACTGTCATATCCATTTGAGGCGTTGTTTGCAAATGGTGCAAGAACATCACCAGTACCCATGCTTTCCGGAGTGTGAATCTTAGTCGCATTATCTTGCTCTTCATATTGTTCCATTTTAGACATCAATCTATTGAGAACAAGCTCTATACGACCGAGGCGTTCACCAAGCTGAGGACCACCTGAAGATTCATGTTCTTCGGGATATTCTTGACTTATACAAGTCGTTCCACGTGAGAGGCAACCAGAACAAACGCTGACGTTCTCAGAACTCAATTGGCACTTGACTTTCCTTCTTTTGCATTCCCAACAACTTTTAGTTCCTTTTCTAACGCGCTTCTTACGATGTTCATCTTCCGCTAGAGCTACTGAAGCTGGTCGAACAGACATTTTGGATAGTGCGTAGTGGAAAGTTCCAAGAAGCTTGAACGTCCCTCGAAGTTTGAATCTTGCAACGAGCACAGGGGTCGATAGCTGGTAGTGGAGAGGGATATTAAGCTATCTCCGAGTTGCTGGGGTAGGTGGATCTGTACTTTTGCGCTATCAACAGCAACTTTAAAAGTCTGTTTGATCGCCGCAATATAATAATATGATTTGTCTTCTGATGTATAATACGGAAAGAAGATGGGGCTTTTTGAACCCTGGGAGTCTGTCGAAAGTTTTTGAGGGGTTTACATAAAGCAGAGACGTTCAAGGCAATTCTCCCATGTTTCTACCGCCGCATTCCGCCGAACGAAAGTGTCACGTGACCCATCTTCTGACGCATCAAATTTTGGTCGCTCCGCAGCCAAGATCATTTCGTCCAATTATCAACCACCATTCAACAGCTGAACCGCAACGTGCTGACTTGCTCGAGCTTGCTTATATATCACGACATATTTTACATGCATTCCCCGATTAAGAATTTGTCGGCCGGTTGGAAGAGCCGACTATTCCGAAAGTCTGTATCTAGATTTGAAGATTTGATGATCAAACAACCCTCAGGCTTTGTCTTTTGGCGTACGAACTATCCCGTACAATACGTGAACGCTTCATCCCAACTCCTCGTTCACCGGTGTTTTTTGTCTCAGTTTTGTCTAAGAACCAATTGTTAGTGATGATCCCAGATTTGTCAGCAACCAATCATGGATAACACAAAACGTTCCGCACGAGGAGAGCGTGGAGAGCGAGTTAATGGTCAGATCAAACTCACGGGTACCAAACTCACCAGACGTCGTATACCCCTGTCATGTCAAGCTTGTAGGGTCAGAAAGTTAAAATGCAACAGAGAAAAACCATGCCAAAACTGTGTAGTAAGGGGAGATATAGCCATCACTACTTGCTCATATGCCGAGAAGAATGATGCTCGTTTACTGAGGCTCTATACTTTGCAACCAGAACAAGAAGATATGAGAGCACGAATCAATCGATTGGAGAGCTCAATTCTATCTGTAATTTCTAGGGAGAAAAAGAACAACATCTCTCCTCTCCCTCCAAGTCTCGGAGAAAATAATGATGATCATGCCGGTCAAGCAGGTGGCCAAAATCTTCTGTCGATACAAGGAGTACACATTGGGATTCGATTCTCCACGATGTGAGCAAGAAGATAATCTGACATAAATGCCTCCTTGCTGAAACTTCAAATAGCTCGGAGCAATGAAAGATGCATGGATTGATGAACACGATCAATTCGAGACACCATTGCCACCAGCAACAGCTTTATATCGACCAAGTCTATTAGGGAGTCTTACTGAACCACCTGACCGCGCAACGATACTTGCATCTTTACCTTCCAGGAAAGAGGCAGATAAGCTTATTGAACGATTCTTTGAAAGTTATAACCCTTCCATACCAGCATGTTGTAAGTGGCCACTGACCAGAACTATATCTATACCGGATGGGTGTATCAAGGAAGCTCACGAATAATAAAGATTTGTTACACAAACAACTTATATGAAGCAGGTGAATTTCCCCATAATATGTAAAGTCGCCAATAGTTTGGACAAATAGGTCTGATACAAAAGATTTCTTATCTTCGAATACGATTGCATGTTTCAAAGAGCATTTTGTCAGGGATGTCTCGTTAGAGGACTGAATTTCAGCAATTGGAACCTCGATTTCGTGAATTTCATCAGCTGACCTATCCCATAGATTAAAAGTTTCTGGGAAGTGCCTCAAAAGGCTCGAATCGTCTGGATTGGTCTATATTTCTCAACCATGTGTTTGGCCCTGCAATCCTATGCCCGTAATAATGACATACCTTCTGAATATCAAGATACATTAGCGACAGTCATAGACCTTTATCGTATCCGCACCGCCCAGTGTCTCATAACAGCTGATATCACAAGACTTGTCTACTTGATGATAGAAACCATGCTATGTTACGCTTTCATTGAGTATACATATGAACGAGATGGTGATATGGGTACTTTACTTTTATCCGGGAATATTATGCGTCTAGCCCTACAACAGGGATATCATCGTGATCCGGATCAGCATTCTGCTCTCAGTGTGTATGAGGGTGAAATGAGACGTCGCGTTTGGCTGATTGTTACACAGCATGAGTAGGTAACTTTTGTTTGGGGACTTTCCAATCACATAATACTTTGCTGGCCTGGTGGGCGGGAAGTACGAAAGGAATTTACGATGTGTTCCCGTTTTTGTCAATTCGAGCATTGGCAATCTTTCGTTACAACTTCTTTGAGTATAAACCTGAGGCTAGCTGAAGTTCTCAGGTGTATATGGTTCATACGATGATTGCCCACACTTAACACCGCATAATGCTAAAATTGAACCACAGGTTACTTTTCTCCGTTCAAATCGGACTTCCAAAATCCATCAAGCTCGCTGAGTGCGATACCAAAGAACCCCGCAACCTGCGCCTAGAAGAGCTTTCCGAAGACATGACCATTCTCCCCCCATCCCGGCCTGATGATGAAAGCACACACAATTGTTACCAACGCGTCCAATCTCGAAATACGCGTGCCTACGGCTATGTCATTGAATTTCTTCACACCGTCGAACCCCAACCATATACCGAAGTAATCAGACTGGACGAAATGCTCAAAAAAAATACCACGATCAGATTCCCTCGCATCTCCAACTTGGCACTCTTTCTCAAATGGCTCACGAGACCCCATCCAATATTGCCGAAAAATTCTTTCTTCAAAAGTTTTACTATAAAGCTACACTTCTTCTTCATCGCAAATATTGGAACGCTACACTACCTGGAAACCCAGACGAATTTCGATGGTTTTCAAGACGTATGTGTGTACTATCCTCCATGACTCTCCTAAACATCCAAGTCAGCATGCACGAAGCGAGTCAACCGGGTGGAATATTAAAGGACTTAAAATGGTGGCATTTTTCCATGACGAATCATGATTTTTTACTCGCGGCTATGATTATGTGTTTAGATTTGAATACGAATCAAAGAAACGGATCCACGGAGTGGGAGCATGAGTTATTGTGCTGTTGCTGAAAAGAAAAAATCAGAGGCGTTGATCAGGGCGAGAGACATTTGGAGGGAGGTTGAAGGGAAGTGTAAGGATGCTAAAAGGGCAGTGGATATTTTGGGAAGTTTGATCAAGAGATTGACGGTAAAGGTACAAAATAATGTTGTGTTGAATGTAAACCCGGAATGTGTCAAACAGCCTCCTATTGTTACGACTATCAACGAGGCGAATGCGGAAATGCTTGGTAATTCGGTACCAATGTATACAGATATCTCTGTGCCGATGATTTTCGCGAACCAGGACGATAGCTTCAATGATATAAGTATGATTCCAGAAAATATGTTCGATACAGGAGGGATTTTTGGAACCTTTGGGGAACAAGTCGATGTACCGGGAGATTTTGATTGGGTGAGCCATACCCGCTCCTAGCTCCTATATTCCTATTTCAGACATGGCTGACCAGAAACTTAGGATGCATGGGATCAAATTACTATAGGTCCGCATGCTTTAGGACAAGAAAGGGATTTGGAAATGCGCGAAAATTATTGGCTGTAATGATGGCATGCATATAATGGCTAGCTCCGCCGAATCAAAATAATCACAAATTCAAATGAATTTACTGGAAGTTTCTTTTTATATATGTTATCAATGTAGAATTTTCTTGGAACTTGCAACAGTTCTCCGTCTCCGTGCCTTTCATATAAGAACCATATGCTGAAATCGAATCCGCTCTTTTCTTTCTCTAATAACACACAAGATTCTGGATTGTGGCTTACAGGTGAGCGGAGTGATGGTGTGGGTTTCGATTAATTCTCTGGAGAGAGCAGGAGTATTGCTGCTTGATATGGATAAACGAGAGGGGGTAAATGAGCAAATATGGATGTCGGGTGATCTAAAAAAATTGGTAATGAGAGAGACTTATGACAATGAATATTATGAAAATGAAAATGCGCAATCAATTTGGAAGACGACAACAATTGAAGTCTTGGACGGTGAAATTAAGCATGATGCCAGTTTTTGACCGAGCATCAGGTTATCCAAATTTGTTCTCTCTCTGTTCAGTAGCCCTACTGATTCCAAAGCAAATGTGGTTTTCTCTCCTGCCGATTTTCCTTGTCAAGTTTCATTCGATAACGAAACAGTAAAAGTAAGAGGAGTCTTATATACTCATACGTTTTTCTCATTCTTTTCGCTTTTTGGATTTGGCTATGCGTACACAATACTTGCGCGGCAATCTGTAAAGTGCGTTAGCTAAGCTCCAATCAGATTCAACAAATCAAATATAACGATTACAGTTGTACTTCATAATTCTTCAAATCTCAGTCAGACGCGATTCTGCGGAACATGTATAAGAGACCCCAAGTATCTGAGAAATTCTATCACGGATTGCCATAGGAAACGAATCCGAGTGAGAAATTATGGTCGGTGGAAAACGTATCTAGTTCTGTGAACGTGTGGAAAAGCAACTTTGCTTGTGTGAGACCTAGAGCATAGGGCATAGATGTATTTGCAAGTGTCCGTTTACAGTATGACTGACACCGATGAAAAGCGTCATTGACGACGAGGCAAACGAAGCGATGAAGATCAATATGAGCGACCCGGAACTTTCGTCCTAACTATCGCATGTAATTTTCAAGGATTTTCGCATCTTTTGACTTTCGGAAATTGGGTTCAGGAACCTTGGGGTGGCAGCAGCAACAATCATCCGCGTGCTCTGATTAGGTTCTGACAGATGAGGGGTTTATGTAGTATGTACACATCATTTGACTTGTACAGCTTACAGATGCAGTGCTGATGATATAGGATCCACTCAAATGTTCTGGGGGACTCAAACACGAAGCTTTCCATCTCATTGTTCAGCTCCCCAGCTCTCAGTCATAACTTCGCTTGAAGTTTAAACATAGAGTTCCAAAACCCCGCGTCCTTTTCCTCACACAACAGGACTATCTAGAGACCATGTCAAAGCATAGGAAATTAAGAGCAACCATTGATCAGATTTCCATGAGAAACTTTTCCCTCTTTCACGATCGACATGACTCGATCACTTGGCTCTCTAGTCACTTTTGGCTTTACGTCGCTACTGAAAAGTTTACGGCAGTAAAGATCCAATAATGACAATCAATTCGAACATTTCGAAAGACAATATGATTCCACTGTTACTACCGTCTGCCAAATCCTTTCGATCTTTAACCTCCTATGAGTTGTCTTGAAATGTTACTATCCATCACATTACATGACCAACACTAGTCGAAATAACAGCTAATTACCTGCTGGATAGAGAAATTCTCAAGCAGCCACACTTTGTTTCAAAAAGCTTAAAATCCTACCATCGTGAAACTAAAACTTCTCTTAATGGTCTGCCAACGCCGTTGTAGACACTTTGCCACCAAAAGCCAGGCAAACAAACGGTTAATCGGATAAACGGCACGGGATTTACCCCATGACTACCGAAGAACGCCCTTTAGCTCGCCAAGCGCCGGAAGGATGATTACGCGCTTGTAAAGCGCATGGCAGTTATGACGATTGTGGACCCTTTCGATCCATTTCAACGGACTTCCTGCCTGCTTGGCGATACTTAGGGCGTGTATCACATCGCTTTTCAAATTCGCATCTGGATTAACTTTAGCAGATGGGAAAGGAAAAAAATCCGACTTACTTTCGAGTTGGCTTGACTTTGATAGATGGAACTGGTATGACTCTACCTTTGATGCAGATTGGAAGTCGAAGACGTTAACATTGAAGACAAAAATCACAACTAACTAACTAGTTTTGTGGGAAGCTGTGACATTATAGAGTTTAAGTATTGAGTAATCAAAGAATCGAAATGTTAAAAAGCGGGTTCGTGGGGACAGCACATTGAAAGTCCTAAAAAGGTCTGGATCACTCAATAGTGTTACAAATTTTCGATTTCAATTTGAATTGATCGAGTTTCGAGTTTTAGATAGTCCTATATCCGAGCAAGCCTGCTCTGATATGTATCTTCGGAGTCCGCAAAAGTTTCCGGACGGTGACACGATCATAAGTGAGTCGTGGGTGACGATGGGATTGATGTGTATATAAGAACAACATGTAATCCATCAACTATCTTAATCGCATCATCAGATTCTCTACAGACAAAGCGATTTCCACCACCTCAAAACTCCTTTCAAAATTCATCGCAATCATGACCGGTATGAGAGTTGCTCAATTGTTGGAGCAAGGAAAGCCTTTGAAAGTCACGACCATTGAGAAGCCAACTCCAGGACCAAAAGATGTTCTCGTCAAAGTCGAGGCCGCTTGTCTTGTTCCAAACAGTGCCAATGTCATAACAAAAGGTCCAGGCCTTTATTTTACCTTGCCGGAGTTACCAAGTGTTTTCGGTTTGGATGCTGCCGGTGTTATTGAAGCTGTGGGAGAAAATGTTGTTGGGCTAAAGGTCGGGGATCGAGTTTATGTCGACCCGTACATAAGTTGTGGCTCCTGCAAACCATGTCGAAAGGGTAAGTCGGGCGGAATACCGAGCATCTTTGTGTTTTCTGCTAACGAATAGCAGGGAGGAAGGATTTATGTGTCTCGGCATGCCTACGTGCGTACTTCGGAAGTGCAACCCCAGAAGGAAAGGTAGTTCTTAACCAGTATCCCATTGGTTCACTTTCACAATACTTGTTATCACCTGATGCCAATATTGCCGTGATCCCTCCCTCGATCGACATCAACACCGCAGCTCGATTTGGCTACATCGGTACTTCGTACGCAGGTCTGAAGAAATGTGGAATGGGACCTGGAAAGACACTTGTAATCAACGGTGTGACAGGTACTTTAGGATATGCCGCCGTAGCGATTGCTCTTGGTTTTGGTTGTACAAAGATTCTGGGCATCGGACGCAATAAAGAACGTCTCGCTGAGATCGAAGGAATGGCTACGGAGGGACGTATTGCTGTCCGTTTCACTGAAGATGAGGGAGATCTCATCCAATGGATTAAGGAACAAACGAATGGATCAGGTCCCGATGGTCTTTATGATTGTCTTGGTAATGGTGGTGATGTAGACGGTACCGCTAAACTGATCAGCGCTATGAAGCGTGGTGGAAGAGTAGCATTGGCTGCTGGTGGAGTACCTGGTGATATCACTCACACTTACGCCGAACTCATGATGCAGGACGTTAGTGTTAACGGGACACTGTGGTTTACCAGCGAGGAGATAGATGAGTGCATCGAGTTGATTGGAGCGGGAGTCATTGACTTCTCATTCCTCAAACACAAATTCTTCTCATTGGATGAGGTCAATGATGCGTTCAAGACTGTAGGAGACCGTCCTGGTGGAGCTTTGAATGTTATTGTACAGCCACAGGCATAGAACCAACTTCATAGAAGAACGGTTTAGATAGAAAATGATACAACGCACTTATATCTCCTTTAACATTCATCCTGATTTCACAAAACTGTGTCTGTCAGAACTAAACCTCTTAGTGGTGCTTAGTCAAAACATAAAATCAACCCCATCACTACGCACATTAGCCTCCCACTTTAACTCACGAAAAATACCTCATGGAAAATTGTCTTTGTGCCGTTCAATTTTGAGATAAATTTTCAGCACAACGGTGTGGGAAAACCCCATTTCCGATTAGTTAACCTACAGAGACGATGCTGTTCACAATAAAAACCTTGCCCATTCATCCATTACCATTATAAATTGTCAGTTTCATCTGCACTAACCTGAACCTTTCCCAAGTAGAAACTACAATGAAACCATTACCATTGCTTACAAACCTCTCTCTATCTAGGATATTATCTTCAATTGCGTTTTGTTCTTCAATCTAGGTCGATCACTTGGAATATCAGCAAGTTACGTTCGGCTTTATAGTTAAGCATTAGTAATGTCTTAGCTGTTTCAATTCGTGGCTTGAAGTTGTTTTTATCTTGGCTATGTCTATAGAGAGAAAGCGGCGAAGGACCGGCTCCTCGAATTTCTTTTATACATATCTGTAGAGAAGATGAGTGCGTTGTATTGGTTTGCGAAGGATACGGATGACACAGTACATACGATAGTAGATCCTAAATATCAATATTGTATTCTATTTAAAGAGCTAGCTATCATATACAAGTAATAGGCCTTAAAATAAGGGTTACCGAAAGAGCTAGTCTCTTTCACATTCGCTTAGGTTTAGTACATGGACATTGAATTGAAGTCATTTACCTACGTTCATACAGTGTGTGCCAGACTCCGTGCGCTTCTTAAAGACGTGTAGTGAAACTTTTATATATGTTCGTAAGAGAAGTTGACTGATATGTGGTGACCGTAAACATATCAATGAACTTTTAATAATACCTTTGCTAGAATACCTGAGACCGAAGACCGCAGAGATGAACAAAATGTGTGTGAGCCGGCTGGGCGTAGTCATTGAAATATTCTCTTGACTGAACATCTGGCTTGAATGGAGCTCATTGTTATTCAACGCTACGAGAGTCTTGTTGGTGAACCAAGTTTGCAAAATCATACAATTATACGGCAATTCTCTATCCCGAGGTCGCTCGTGAACATACATAATAGGTCAGAAAATTCTCACAGAACCGAAAATGATTCATTGTCTCACTAGTGTCAATCTTCACGATCGCCGCATTAATACAAGTTGTTATTTATATAAACTTGTGTAAAGTTCCCCTTGCAAACAAAACAATCACATCAACGTCATGGGATCCCCCGACATCAACGCTGCGATGAATGCTCCAAGCGTTCCAGTCCTTTCGACCTTCCCCAAATTTCCCCTCTTCCCTAAGGAAATTCAACTTAAGATATGGTTCCATGCCCTTCCAGACGGACGAATGTTTTATGTAGGTATATACGGAGTATTTCCGCCTCCACGGCCTCATGCACTGTATGATGTGAGTCCAGAGTCTCGCGGAGTGTTTCTCAAACATTCCAAAAGACTCCCTACTCATACCGCGGGTTGTGTTTACGCCAAATGGAGTAAAGATCCTATCTTTTACAGTCCATTAAGAGATACAATCGTTTGTGAATCCGATATGCCACGCACGTGCTGCTCGATGGCTCCAGAAAAAGACTTCTCTCCCAAGACCTGGATTGTTGTGACGAGAGGAAAAGGTTTTTCGCCGAACTTCGTCACGTAGGCGTTCTAGCGGATTGCCAACAGTACGCTATCCCAGCTGGAGATTGTCGTTTCGATACTATTGATCGTGATTTGATGTTGAGCGATGGCAACATGTCTTTCTACGCACAACTCTTGACAGATTGTCCAATGCTTAAGTCTTTCAGTTTTGTGATTGGATCCAACGCCGTCCAAAAAAAGGTCAGAGAAATTCCAGGAATGCGATCTGCAAAGGCGAATTACTGGAAAGAGACAATATTGGAGGAATTCTATCAAGAAAAAATGGAAGAGATACGAAACGTTGTTGAAAAGTGGAAACAATTGCATCCTGAAGCAATCGTTCCTCAAATTGAGATAGTTTACGCTGCAACGGACGCATTTTCAGGATCAATATCAAAATGAGATAATGGGAATATGATTGTTCTTCAAGGATACTATTACCAGAGATTATCAGGTTGTATCAATAAGGTGTTGGGACGAATTTGGGACTGGGAGGGAAAACAATTATGGTGATGGTGTTTTCGCATGCGAGTGATAGGTCTCTTGGGAAATTGTGGATATCAATTCAGGAAGCTATAATAAGAAAAGCAAAATACACGCATTCTCTTTCTAGAAATCCGTAGTGAAACTTATGAAAATCCTGTGACTGTCCAGATATTCAGATGACCTTTTGACAAGTGAGTGATTCAACAATCGATCTCTATAGTCAAGTGTATTACTTTAAGACCTCTAAACTTTCACTCCTCATATATTCCGTCGAGTTAACTAAACCTTGGCTAATCAACATTACACATGACCTTCCGACGAACAAATCTGACTACCTACACAAGCCTTTACCAATTACCAGCCGTACAAAAGACTTTCTTACACTTAGCATTGATCTACATCTCAAAACTCCAAGAGAATCAACATGCTAATCTCACATTAAACCTACCGCGGAGTTTACGCATGTGAAATATGAATCCAGCCCATGGCTGTCGATTTTATCAATTGTGAACAGGAAAGGAAGCCGGGCAGTTGATCCTCGATTCTGCTCTCCTGATATTTTCGAGATCAGGACGGGTGTTTACTCTTAACCTTTAGGGCATGTCAGGTATAGGAAGGATATGACATTAATAAGGAGAGTTCAGCCAGTGGTTTATTCCGGAACATGAATTTTTCTTTTTACAGAGATATCACTTATACACTGTACCTACTTATCGGCCATTCACAATATGGCCAACCACCTTAGGCGTGGTTAGCAGAATTTATCGATATAGCCGACAAGTACGATACCTATACTTTTATATTTTCACTCGTGTAATTATCTTGATATCTTTCTCCGAGTGAAACTTAGTCTCCTCATCCTCGAAGGCTGTGTGGTTTAGAAGTAAAAGGGTCATACATGATATAAAAGGATGAAAGATAGTATCCCTCAATTAGACGATATTTCAACCTACCGCATGCATTCACCGCCATCAAATATCAATATTCTTCATTTCAACTCAAAAACATCAGATAACAATTTCGGTATAATACTAACACTCAGATTGTGACAAATCTTATAGAAATGACAGTACTCGCAACTTCCTCAACCATATAAAAAGGTCTACCCTCCAATCAAAGTTCGGAATATAGCAAATCTTCATTTTCTATCTCTTTTTTCGACTCCTACTGAAGCCAAAATTCACGGATTTGACTGCAAATAACGAAAGTTGCGGTGTTTTATATACCTAGGTACTTATCCTTTTTTTTCTCCCATTTCATAAAACTTGTATATGTATGGGTATCTGACAAATTTCTAGCGCTGAAATGTAGTTTACATTCCCGATAACTGAGTGAATCAAACTCTCATAGTCCCGCTTCATCTATGCGTTTCCCTCGAAATTTGGAAATCCTACTGCCTATAAAACCTACCAATCTTCCCAGAACTCAATCTCAAACTCAAATCCTAAACAAGATCGAAGGGTAGAGGAAGCCCCAGAGCTCCCAGCCCAGATCGCGATGATACAAAACTTATAATACACATCTCCAAAAAACGACCCGAGTTAATAAATCTAGAAATCAAAGATGAGAAAGGATGAGCAATGGTGAGATGAAATGCTAGTGACGTGACAATAACAACAACATTCGACAACGGGACTGCTATTCCAAGCAGCGAGCAAGTAAATGCATGTAACATAATAACAAATTCCTCTCGCCTATTTCAACACTCCCATCACTATTTATTTATTCATCACTCTATACCTAGCTTAACACTCCCCAAACCCTCCTATCTAAATAGGTACCCAGCATTAAATTCCCATTAAATTCCCATTCCTCTCCCCTCCCTCCACTCACAATTTCCACCCACAATTTTCAACACTGAACTATCAGATATCTACCAGATACCTATCCATCACGACTCGTAGTCATCATAGAACACTATTAAAGCAATATAGGTAGGTACAGAGAAAACAAACTCACAAGGAGAAGAGAATATGAGTTACATGGATATCTAATATCCTCGCTTCTTCTCCCTTCTCCCTTCTCCCTTCTCCCTTCTCCTCATTTCTCATTTCTCCTTACATCTTATCCAAGATCTCATCCCAGATCTCCGGAAAAAAAAATTTACTTTTTTTTAATACATCCAGACATTCATCTTCCCATCTTCCCATCTTCCCATCTTCCCATCTTCCCATCTTCCCATCTTCCCATCTTCCCATCTTCCCATCTTCCCATCTTCCCATCTTCCCATCTTCCATCTTCCATCTTCCCATCTTCCCATCTTCCATCTTCCCATCTTCCCATCTTCCCATCTTCCCATCTTCCCATCTTCCCACTCCTCATTCTCCAACCTCCAAACACTACAGATTTCCTTTCCTTTTCTTTCCTCATCTCATTTCGAATCCAAATTCACCAGACTACTTACTATATATAATCTAAACAAATTACATCAAAAATTAATTAAACACACAAACACACATATAAATACATACACCATAAATATTATCCTCTCCTCTTCTCTCCTCTCCTCTCCTCTCCCCTCCCCTCCCCATTTCCACAATATCCACAATCTCCACGTCCATGAAATTTTCCTTCTTTGAAAGTCAGATTCAGATTCAGATTCCCAGAGATTCGTAAACTTCTCTTCTCTTTATAGAAAGTATATATACATACATATATTCATACAAACCAATCAACCAACAAATAATAAATAAACAGACAAACAAACAAATAAACAGACCCATCCATCCATCCTCCCAACACCCCATAAAAAACCCCTCCCCTCCCTTCCCTCTCCTACTATCCACCACCATCTCAGAAAAAATCATATTATAACATACACACATACATACCTAATACATCGAAAACCCTCCATTTAATACCCCCTCATTCAGACCCCCTCATACACACAAAACTAACATCACCATACCACCACACTACTATACTACAAGCCTTACCCTTTCATCTCAACTAGTGATAATTACACCAGTTAATATAATATATACAATCTAATAGAACGATAATACAAACCTAATAATAAAAAATACAAAATACCTATACATATACATAGATATAGATATAAAAAGCAACAAGATCCGACAATGAAATCAAAAAGCTCACTTGGTATCCCCCTCTCACCCCCCTCTCACCTCCCTCTCACCTCCCCATCAATATCCACCATCACCTAATCAAAACCTCCCAATCCCCATTCCATCCATTATCTGCATCCGCCTTCCTCCACCCATCTCCAACTCAAAACCATCACTCCAAATAATCTCTTATACCCCAAAAGATCATTCAAAACTTACAAAAATCTCAAACTACACAAACCCATATATATAATTCATTAAATACCTATCGAAACGCATTTTAAAACACACCACAAGAAATCCTCCCAACCAACCAATCAACCAATTAATTAATCATTTACAATCCCTCTAATAATCTCTCAGATCCCGTTTAAAATTCCGCATTCTTTCTATATAAACCTCCTTCCTTTTCCTCCTTCTCAGATCCTTTACTGTAGATGCTAATTAACAATTTTTCTTTCAATATCAAGGAGTTTATGTTAATTAGGTATATATCTTTTTAAACCTTTTCCCCTCATTTCCATTTCCATTTCCCATCTTCATTTTCCAATTGCCCCCATACGCATACACTTCCTCCATATCCATTCACTCCTCCTCCTCACATCCTCAAATCATCATACCAAAATAACCATCGTAAACCAACAACACCACTACCAATACCAGCATAGTCCTACCAATACTAATACAATCCCCCTTCCAATCCCCCTTCCAATATCCAACATCCAACCACATCCCTTAACGAACAATCCAAAAATCATTATCATCTCCCATCTCGCATCTCGCATCTCGCACCTCCCAAAAACGAAAATCAAAAAACGATATCCTCAAATATAATCCCACAAAAAGCTAATTATAATTCCCCATCCATCAATCCCCACCAAATCTCCCTCTTTCTCTCCCTCTTTTTTACGTCCCCTCTTCCACCCCTCCCTCCATCCATTTAATCTCTCTATCCTCAAAACTCAATTCCCTTCACTCTCAATGCTCACATCATCACTCCCACTCCATCTACTCACACCAAACCAAACCAAACCACTCAATGCTCAAACCCGCTCATCTCCCCCTATACTAACTCCTTCCTCTTATACCAACATCCCCTCTCTTTCCCCTCCCCTCATAACCCCCTCACCAATCTCACCAATCTTCTCCTCCCAAAAAGCAAAACAAACTCTACTAAAAATCTATCTCTTTATTTATCTATCTTATCATCCTTTACTTTTTATTCTTTATTCTTTATTCCCTACTCCCTACTCCCTACTCCCTACTCTCTACTCCCTACTCCCTACTCCCTACTCCCTACTCTCTACTCCCTACTCCCTACTCCCTACTCCCTACTCCCTACTCCCTACTCCCTACTTTCTATTACTTATTCTCTACTTTTTACTCTTTTCTTTTTCTTTAAAGAAAAAATAAATAATTAAATAAAGAAAGAAAAAGAAAAGAAAGAAAAGAAAGAAAAGAAAAGAAAAGAAAAGAAAAGAAAGAAAAGAAAAGAAGAAGAAAAAGAAAAAGAAGAAGAAAAAGAAGAAAAAAGAAGAAGAAAAAGAAGAAGAGAAGAAGAAGAAAGAAGAAAAAGAAGAAGAAAAAGAGGGGGTAATTAGATAAAAGAAGAGAGAAAAGTAAGAACTGTATTTATTCTATTATATGAAGTAAAATGGAGGAGTACACAAGAAAAGGAGGAAGAGTTAATGAAAATCTATTTGAGATAGATACTTGAGATAGAGGCTGTAGCGGACTTTACCCCTTGTTTACCTAGGTATTATTCGTCATACCATTCATTCATCCATTCACCCCGCACTCACTCATATTACACTCTCCTCACTTGCATCACATCTACAACCTACAACCAACAACCAACAACCAAATCATCACAAAACATACAAAGCGATGACCGGAAAGATAATCTTAAAAAGAATGGTATTTCATATTGCTACAAATATATCCTCACTTAAACCCATCTCCCCTATCCTGTCTCATTCACCCCACTTATTCGCACATTTCAAGAATTTCCCTATTCTTTCCATCACAACCCACAATCCGTGTCCCCCATATTCCAGCCTGGTATTTCCTCCAAATCTGATCAACAGGTTCATATTCTTATATCCCCCAAACTCGAAAAAAAAAAAAAAAAAAGAAAAGTAACCCAGGCATATAATCATATCACAATTTCCATTTAACCATTCCATCCCCAGTATCAGAATAAAGAGCAAAAAAGTCCAAACATATATCCCCAATCCATTGCATTCCCCTCAGACCCATCGAAAATCCCTCCCTTTCATTCGGAAAAGCATCCAGGTTTCACTCTTATTCCACAACTTGGGACTTGTGACAAACTTGTGACAATAAACTGATGAATGACAAAGTCAAACAATTCCAAAGTATTGAAAATACAAGAAAATTTCCCTGGATGCAATTCACGAAGAAGTCAGAACCCCCCAAAACGAAAGAAAATGAAAATGGAATTGTTATATCGAATGAAGGATAACCTTGAGACTGAAAGCTCAAAAAGTTCCTCCAAAATTAATTAAGAAGTTTGTTTCTCGAAAAGTATTCATCATCTTCGTCAAAAAACTAGCAATTGCAAGCAAGAAAACCCCGATTCCTGCATCGAAATATGCACAATGTCGAATGCAATATCAAATTGTTCTTTTTGTTCGACAAGTTAAAGTAGAGATCGGATAATCAATAAATGGGATCTACCCATCAAGTGATTTACTCAAAACATCTTAAAAGATGGAGCTTTTGCGTTTCTCAGCGCTAGTGAGAACAAGCATTGGTGCTTTCTTTTGAATAGCAGCTACTTCAGGCTTCTTTCCAGCATTCTTAAAGACGGCAGCAAAGCTACCACCAATTTGTTCATCACCAGAAACACTCTCAGCAGTGAATGATTCAACTGACATGACTGACTTGATTTCAAGAGAGTTTTGTCTTGAAGTAGGGCGGTTAGAACCAATGGCACCATGTTGAGATGTACGAGAGCTTGGTGGACTTGGACGACCTGAAAGACTTCCACTTCCACTACGGCCAGAATCCGAATCATTATCGTCAGCTGAGAATGACATCTCACCATCTTCAGATACAGGTGACATGCTACCTGATGCACTACCTGGTGCCCTTCGACGTTCCAATCCAGCACGGACAAGATTGTGAACAGCACTTCGACGAGTTCGAGTAGCAAAGTTCTTGGAACCCTCAAACTTGGCAGTTGGCTTAGATTTCAATTCTTCAATGGGTGGTGGACCACGTGGTTGTCTGACTGGATGTTCACCAGCCCGTCCTGCACCTGGACCAAATCCGGTTTGGGTTGGAGTACCTGGGAAAGTAGATTTTGGTAATCCAGCCGTTTTTGGACCATCCAAAGAAACCTCACCAGACATAGACATAGCCATAGACTTTGAGCTACGATGTCCTCTACGGAAAGCACCAGCAGATGGTGGAGGCAAAGGAGCATGGTCTTGTGGTGGCGATGCAGATTTCTTTGGTGGACTGATTGACCTTGTGAAAGATGGTGCGTCGGATTGTGGTGGTGGAGACACTTGGAATCTTGGTGTGCCAGGTTGTTGTGGTGGAGAATAGCTCACCCTTTGTTCAATTGGTGACTCGACATATTGTTGACTGTTATCCATGAAATAGGTTTGTTGTCCAGTCATGGGGTTGTAGTACGAGTAAACACCAGGTTGGGCTCCGGGAACAGGTGTGATGATTGGTTGCATGTTTTGCTTCATTTGCTGTTGTTGATACATTCCCATGTTTTGTGGGGTGATTGGGGGAGTTGCGTATTGTCCATTCAAACTCATTTGTTGAGCGGCAGCTTGAACGTTCATCAATTGTTGCTGAAGACGTTGTTGTTGTTCTGCGAGATACAAATTGGTAGCAACAAGCTGAGCATACAAATTTGGATCCATTCCTTCATGTCCATCATCAAGTCGAATCTCGGGAGTGGAAAGAACTTGTTCGGGAACAGAGTACATCTGTTGATGATTCATTTGATGGTTTTGTTGATTGAATGGAGCATATCCTGAAGTCTTTGGTCCATTATCGGCATATCTGCTCGAGTTCATTCCATTGTTACCGGTGTTGTGTTGAACTTGGGTTGGTGGAGCAGTTGATGGAAAGTTGGCAGAAGTAGCAGATTTTGGTGCAGTTCTCAAACCTGCGAGTAAATGAGAACGAGATGTTCTTGGAGTTGGTGCACCGTTGTCTTGAGAATCGAGAGTCTTGCCAGTGGGTTCAAATGAAAGACGTTTGATGTTGGAACCATTAGCAGCTCTTCTAGCAGCGAAACCAGTAACTGGCATACCCAAGCCATTGCTGGAAGGGAAGTTGTTGTAAGACATCTGAGCAAGACCGCCTGCGTCCATTTTGATGTTTTTTTGTACAATTGAAGGGTGATATTGTAAGTTTGGGTGTGAAGGTAGGAATCGTTCGATTCGTAGAATGATGAAGGATCAATTATCGAAGAGAGTGTATTGGTGTCGATGAACTGATCGTGTAAGGATTGATTGTCAGGTCGACCTGAGTGAGCAAGGGACGGGAATTGTATTAGATAAATTAAGATGATTCGAAACAAGATATTATCGAATGCGTATTGTACGTAAAGTCGAAGGAGTTTCGATGTAATTATATTGTTTTGCTTTGTAAAATGTAATTCTGTAAGAAGAAGCTCGAATGTTGTGTGGTGAGATGAGGTGGTGGTGTAAAAGATAGGCAAGCCTTTTCTTTTCACACAAGCAACAAACAAATCGTCGTAATGAGAGATGAAATGTGTGCGAGAGAATGAAGGTTAATGGAAACGATTCTTGTCGAAGATGTAAAGGAATTTTGATAGTTGAAGAGATAACTTTTTGATGGGTGAATCCAAGAAAAGAATTGATGAATCTTCAATGTGAACAAAAAAGACCCCCCGAAAAATCCGAACAAATGGATGTAAGTGTGTATTTTCTCGGTCGCGGACTGATAAAAATGGCCTGGCCTTGTCAAACTTGAGTTTTTAATTCTTTTCTTCTTCTTCTTCTTCTTCTTCTTCTGGTATCGATGACGATGATGAGTTGATTTCGCTTTGGATGGGAATATTACAGAGTGTGGGGATTGAATGTGTTGTATGTAGTATCTCTATTTGATGGAAAGATGTGAAGAAGGAAGTGATATCTCAAAGTCAAGTCAAAAGACGAAGATGACGACGACGACCACGAGCACGACAACAAAAAGCTTTGATTGAGAAGGAAGTCTCGAATGAGAAGAAAATAAAAAGGAAGTAAGGGTTTTTTTCTCAATGTGAAAGGATTGTCGAAGGACTTTAAATTCTTTTTGGGGGGAGGAAAGAAAGAAAATAGGAAGAATAAAATTGAAATTGAAATTGATGCGTTTTTGTGCGTGTGTGTGTGTGGGTGTGGGTGAGTGAATAAGAAGAGTGAAGAGTGTGGAGAAATAAGAGAAGGTCTGGGTGGATGATGAGTGGAAATGGTGAAGTTGAGTGGATGAGGAATCACTCGAGTTTAAGTGTGAATGGTCGAGTGAAGGTAGGTGCGTACAGTAGCGGATTATTGTGGTCGTGGTTGCTGCTTGATGTATGTATGTAAGTGAAGTATAATAATACTACTAGGGGGTACCTAGGTCAAGGGTAATATCGAGGGCGAGAAGAGAGAAGAGAGAAGAGAGAAGAGCGAAATAAGAAGAGGAAAGTCAGAAAAGTCTCAATGCCAAGTGTATGCGTGTATAAAGTACAGTGCGTATTTTGGACTGGAAAGACCCAAGAAGTATACTTTTATGGAGAATGAGGGAAAAGATGAACCAATCGAATCCCATTCTCCATTCAAAATAATGCCTTGAATAAATTGAATTTCAATCAAGAAAAAAAGGGCTCGATCAATCAATAATAAAGAAGGGCCCGGAATGATCCTTTTTTAGTCTAGATATGGTATATGTATGGTATATGTATGGTATGGTGTATGGTGTGTAGTATCTTGATCAATGTAAACGCGTCAAGAAGGCAGGCAAATGCAAGTACCGTAGACAAAAGAGGTGAGTGGAATGGAACGAACGAGGGGGGAAAAAGAAAAGTGTATCTAGCTAGTATTGAATATCAATAACGAGCTGAGTAACGAACTAATCAAGAAAGGAAGAAAGAGATCCTGGTTAACTTTGATATTTGATTGTTCTTCTTTATGTATCTACCTAGGTATGTATCTATGTATTGATCCATCTACCCATCGAGAGGCAATAACACAACGATGAAAAGTATCTCAAGATTCCCATCCCAGAGTCAAAGATCCCCAATACCCAAATCCAGGAAAGGAATGAGATTGTCCTCTTTCGCCCGGAGCCATGAATGAGATCGTCTCCATTGAGCGAATGAGATTAACGAATTAGTCCTCTCACGTCGAAGGCAAAAAAGAGGCGTTCCAACTTCCAATGAGCGACACGAGAGAGTGACTAGGGAGGTTTCCCTATTTTCTTAAGCTTGCATCTCCATCGACCTAGGGACACATCCTAATGAACGCTCGACAGGTCCCCCTTCACCAAAGTTAAAGAAGGTGGTGTAACAGGGTCGACAGACTCTGCTTACATCTGGATTCTTGATCGTTATTTTTTTCTCTTCCATCCAC